GATCGGAGCTATATTTGAGTCCTTAGGACTTCAGGTTTCTGGATGGGTTTCGTCAATAGTACAGTACATTCTGTTATTTGCAGTTTTGTTATTAATCATTTGGTTAGCCTATAAGTGTGTTCTAGGAGTCATCGAAAAAGAAACAAGACGCACCAGAAGAGTGATAAAAGCCTTGGCAAGAACCAATGAGATACGCCTCAATGAAAGACGCCGACCTCCTCCGAAGTATGAAGATGTCGTTGGGCAAGATAATCCAGCATTTGAAAGAACCAACGATAACTAAGAGTTGAGCATTCTTGCAGAAGATTGAAGAATGCTCAAAAGGGGGGAATTGTTGCCATTTGGTTCAATAAACTGTATTATTAAGATAGTAACAAACGTTAATAGTTAGCATTAGTTGACATTAGTAGTAGTTATGCTAAGGCTTGGTAGGCCACATGTGACCTGCAGATGAACTATATAGCAGATATTGCAATGTAAGCAGTGTAACTAGGAGATAATCTAGGAATGTACCTTTTGGCAAAACTTAAATGTCAGAGAGATAATCGTACCAAGTAGTGAAAGAGAAGTAAGAAATTGTGATGATGAAGAAATCGTGTAGAAAACATATAAAAACCCTGTGATTTATCTGTGAAACGGGGCTCTGTCTTTGGACACTAGTCCACAGGCTCCCGGGCCCTCAATAAAGCACCGCATAAACGACTTCGGTTGTTTGTGTTTTCTTCGGATCGGGCAACATCAGCATGTGTATGTTGCATTCCTGTCTCCAACAACAGTGACACAAGAAGTCCTACCAAGGGCATGAGACTCATGTTTACAGATTTTTTTGGATAGTCTGAAAGAAACAAAATCAGCTTTTTCATGAAGCAGTGACTGTAGTGGACTTGATAGTCAACCACATATAACAGGTGCAGGTTTGGCTGTTAGAGAAATGTTTCAATGAGTCATGTTTCATGTTTCATGAGGCAAAAGTAGTCTTAACAACAGCAAGTCCATTTTCAGGAGAGCCAGGAAGCACCAGGAACACCATTCCCCTTTCTTGGCTAAAGCCCCCTGGATTTTCTAGAGCAGAATTCCTCTGCTCAGGCTTTTCATGGTAGGTACATGTCTAGGCTACTTTGATTTCTCAAGAAAGATCTGATTGAACAGTGTATGTGGTTGCTACCTGACAAATACCTGTCTTTTATTATATGAACTAACTAGGAAAACAGAGCAACAAAATCAAAAGTACTGATCAAAACAATAGCAAATTTTCTTATCCCCAGTAATCTCAATTCTCTGTTATTCTCTTTAGATAAACAGTGTTTAGCTTCCCTACATTACTCCATTGCAGAAACAGGCTGAGCTCATCATCCAACGTCACGAGTTAGGAATTGACACATCCTGGTGCAAGCATCTCATCACTAGTCTTGTTCACAGCCTTCCAGCCCAGGGATGAGATTGAGTCTGGAAGATGCCTAAATGAGCCTGAATTCATGCTCACTGTCTAGAATGCACAGGGATTATAATTCTTTGGCATTAACTTGTAAATGTTTCCATCTGGTTAATTGAGATTTATAAAAGGTATGTATCTCTGTGTTCAACGGTGCCTTACCTATGTGTTGGGTATCCAAGGACCTTTTAAAGTTCTAGACAAAACTGATTTACACAGCAAGACAGTACAAGAAGTTCAGAGAAATAGAACTCAAAATTGGAAATTGTTCCAGTGGTCTGAACATTGGGCTGCACATCCATAACACAGAGGCTGCTCTCAATGAGCACCATTTGAACACCAGTCATGTAAATTTGTAAATTTACAAAGGACATTTCTGAGGTAAATGTCTCTTTTTTTTCTATGTCCATCCAACTTTTTAATATTTAACAAATGTGAATTTTAAAGATCAATTTGTACTTCTATTTTTTCCTTTAATTTTACCTTATTGATACAACAGGTTCACTTAAAATTAGGTTAAATTCTTGGTTTGACCTTCAAACTCACATAAGAATATGTTAGGACTAAATTAAAACACATAAGAGCACCTCTTGTGCTGTTTTGGGTAAAGATGATTTCTTTATAACATGGTCAAATTCCATCATGTCAAAATCATGAACATGTCACATTACAATTATAAATGATTTATTTTATAAATACAGAATGCATTTACATATTAAAATAGTAAAAATAAAAATTAATTACTTTCTAACAATAAGTGAAGAATATGACAGAATAAACACAACTAGCTCCCTGCAGTAAGGGAATATTAAGAATTTATTCCTTCTCTCCTGTTTTCAACAATTCATGTGGGAAACATTTGGAACTGATACTTGTTCACAGAAACCAGTGGACTGGGCAAAACAGTTTGAATTTATGTTTACTTGGCATATGCAGAAGAGGGTAGCTCAGAAGTTCTAGGTTTTTTTGTCACAAAGAGCAAGAAAATAAAAGATATCATTCAGTTTACTTACACATTAGTTGTAAAAATCCCATAGATCAAGTCCAGTTCTGGCAAGAAGAAAGTACTCTGAAGTTCATTATAGTAAAATGGAATTTCTCCAGGACGAGAGCAGTTCACACGAGCTTTCATGAAGGTAGTCCAGGTATCCTCCAGCACAAACTTGCCACCAATATCATTTTTGCACACTCGGGCAGCACGAGAGAAAACTGTTTTCCCACAGTCATGTTCCACTGCATTTTCCCGGAAGAAAAAGTAAGTAAAGTTCCCAATGTCATAAGATGACACAAAATTTGGTTCTGAAAATAACAAAAGGAAAGATCATTTATTGCCTTCTTGTGATACATGCACTTGTACTAATGCAGAAGTTGGATTTATCTTCAAGCATTATATTTAGATAAACACACTTTTTAATATCCTTTAGGGATATGGCACCATGACATCTGAATAGGCTAGCTCATGTCCAGCTAGGATTATGAGATACATGATCATGATGCACTGGGGTTGGCTGGATAGAGTTTTTTTCATAGTAGCTAGCAAGGCACTGTGTTTTGGATTTGTGCTAGAGACAGGGCTGGTAATTCAGGGATGTTTTTGTTATTGTTGAGCAGCACTTACACAGAGCCAAGGCCTTTTCCTTCTCTCACCACCCCACCAGCACAAAAAGCCAAACTGCCATCTGTGGTCAAACCATGACCTGGAAAACCGGGCCTGACAGGTTTTCCTCTAGGTGTTTACAATATGACTGTGCTGGGCAACCTTGGCCCAGCTCATTTTATTCCACCATCAAAAGTGTTTTGGAGTCTTCATTCTTCACATAAGGGCACAGTGAATTCTCACAATGTAATTGCTTTATCTTTTAACTCTATTTCTGCTTTGCCACCATGCCATTACTCCAGATTAGCAGGATAATGGATTGTAATTGATGGTGACTAAAAATGTGCTCAGAGGCTGTAACTGAAAGAAAAGAGAACTTTTCTCAGGAATATTTGATGATAACTGCATTTCAACCCTATCTTGCTTAATGCAGATTTATTTTTTCTTTCTTTAAAAAAATGATTGAAAACTGATCAAAAAACCTGACAGTGATGAAGGAGAAATTAGAGAATATAAAAAATAAATATAATTAGAGAAAAATTAGAGAATGTAAAAAGTAATCTGGAAAGCAACAGATGACAATATTTCTTGAAAGAAAAGATAAAAAGGAACAGTGGATACCAAAGACAATAAACATATGGCCCATTTCCTGTAAGGATTACTAAAACTGAGGAAAGTCCATGACCTTAGAAGAAGCTGACAACTTGTTAAGTTCTTAAAGGAAAAATAAATTTGATACACAGATTTGTGAAGAAGAGCCCCACTAGTGCAAGGAACCATTTTAGAACACTGATACCTCTGAGAAACAAGTTTTCTTGTTTCTCATTTCCATTTTTTTAATTGGGAAAACAAATAAACCAGACTATTTTAAAAACATCTGTTGTGAGGAAGCACTTCAAATAAAATTAATAGGTGAACATTTTTTGACAGCACTATTGTATAAGAGAAAAAGACCGCTTTAATTCAAAGTAAGCATTTTATAGGAGTATCTCAAACCTTTCAGAACTCTGGGGGGGGGGGGGAGGGCACTAGGTAAGCAAGCAAGCTGGCACTGCCTTACAGCAGTCCAAACTGTCAGAAAACTCTTTTTAAAGACAGACCAGATCCTGGCTAGTGTGGCCTCTTGTGCTACTTCCATCTCTATGCTGTGCTGAGAGCTCCTAGAGCAGGTTTTTGGCAGCACTGATTATGATCTGACTCAGGTATATGAAGCTGAGCAGATCCAATAGTGCTCTCTGCCTGTAACTTTCACTCTCTATTTTATGAAGTGCTTCTTTGAGAGCAGTCTGGAACACCATATTTTCTCCACATTCAGAGTGGCACAGGTCTTTTGCTGGCAGGTCACAACCCAACAATTTTAAGAACTTGTTGGTGCCCTGAGCCTTCATCAATTACATACTACTATCACTAAAGGACACAAAATGATTCACACGATCACTCTCAGTGTCAGAACAAAACCCCGTCACTTTATTCTCTGACTCCAGTATTTATAGATTCTCAACAATGACCAGGGATTGGATAATTTAAGTTACCATATTCCCAAACACACTGGTCATGCAAAATGTCCATCAAAATGTTTCTTAGAAGGAATGTGATAAGCAACTTATGTTTATAGGACTTTCATGGGAAAGTAACTAAAACTATGAAAACATTATCAGAAGGTTTAATTTTCAGAGTGACATACTACCAGTGCATTTGTGCCCTTAAAAAAAAGGAATAAAAAAGGCAAATTAGGTGGACAGGACTTACGATTTCATAAGAAATAAAATCATACTGACGACATGCAAGAATGAAACTATTAGTAATGTTAACCCTACTAGAAACTTAAATCTTCATTCCACATCTGCATAAAACTTTCATTACAATAGGGATTTTGCTTCAAAGGCTTCAAAATCTTCAAAAACCTACTGCGCAAATACTCAAAGTTAATTTGATCCACCCAAAAAAACATTTTTTACAAACATTAAAAAAGGAGGCCCTGCCTTGCAATCAGGCTTGAAGATACTTCTCACTGGAGGCCCACTGATATAAAAAGGTCTCTACATTGGCACCACAGGATCTCACTGCAGAGTTAAAAAAACACTATTGGAAGCACTCAGTGTAAAGAATGATGAATTACAAAAATAAAACAAATATCACAATCTATAGCAGTAAAAATAATTTGAAATGCATTCAGAAGGTATTCAGAGTTCTTGAAAATCAACCTTTCAAAAGACAGTATTTTAAAGTTGCACTGATAATCATAATACATGTATAAAAATACCTAGTACTCATATTTCATAGTTTCAAAACTGAGAAACCATATATACATCTGCAAACACCTACACTTGGTTGATTATGAACTGATGAAATTGTGACCTGTTGCTGAAACTTGTGAAAAAAGCTTTCATTTGCATTAAATGTAAAAATCTCAGAGTTACCCTAGGGAATTCAGTGGATATGGAAGGATTATCATGTCAGACAGACTTTGTTTATTTCATTCTCTCTTTGGGAAAAATGAACAGGGTCACTTCAAAACTTTAAAGGAAAAAGTAGCTACTCAGCTTGGAAAAATCCGCTCTTATGTGTCCAAATATTGTGCTGTGAAGGGTCATTTGTTGACATGGAGGCCTTACCATGTAAGTTTTTAATGCAGCCAATGAAGTGAATCTTGTTTCATGATGATTTTGCAAATAGTTTTCGGAAGGGCAAACACATCTCATTTCTGATTTATCAGATCACCACAACAAGTGCAAAGATTCTGGTATGTGACACAATACAGTTAGTACAAGAATGTCAACCTGTAATAATGTCACAAGTATTGCATATGACCTTTATAGGATTTTTTATATACTCAATTTATGGACATGTCAGGCTGACTAGACTTTCTCAAATTAAATTGAACCAGCGGAATCAAGAAAGCAAGAAAATTACTTTGTTGATGTGACTCAAAAAATATCTCGGGTGTACATCATGGAGCAAGGCTACACAGAACACAAACACAGCCACTGATAGCACTGGGAGGCTAATTAGTACTGCCCCTGGGCAAACAAACTACTCTGCTATTTCTTAAGTTTGCTTATTCAGCACAAATCCTGGGAATCCACCGTTTCTTTCATAAAGCAGCATAACTGCTCAACAAGAATATTTCCCCACAGACTCTTCTAAGTTACTGCAAAAAAAGACAACTCAACTATATGGAGCCAAGATAGTGCTTCAACCAGAAATAATATGATCATTTTTCTGAGGATTGGAGACAAACCTACATTTTTTGGGGAGCACGGTCTCTATTCTTAATGTGAAAGCACTTAACAGGAACACACAATGATTCCCTTTAGATTTTTCTCCCTTTTCCTCTGCCAAAGGTGTCATGCATAAGGTAATTTCCTAGGCCTTTTTTATTTAGTGGTGTGGATACATCCTGAATAGGTAAAAGGATGAGAAGAACTGTACAGGAATTTTTCTGTGGATAGAAATGGAAAATAGGATCCTAAACAAGTTCCCTGAAAGTATCTGAGTTAGTCTTGGCCTCTTCTTGCTGTTTGAATTTAGGAGCAAGAATGTTCACTTGTGCTCTTTAATCCTTATAACTTAACTTCTTCTGAAGTAGTCTAACATGGCTTAATCTACATAGTTAGTGGATGCTACTGCTTCCAGAGTGAACCAAATGACAGGAAATGATCTAACTTTTTTTAAGAAGGTAACAGCAATTAACCTTAATAATTTAAAGGTCCAAAGCCTACTCTAATCAAGTAAGAGCTGTGATTTCCATGGATTGCCCTGTGAGGTGTGATCACTCACATCTGAAGTCAAGGCATTCAAAGACAAAATCAAAAATTAAATTCATGTTAAAAGAAAGCTAAAATATTATTTTTTTTAATTTAGACACAGATCAGATTATATATGTATATCTGCCCACAAAATAAGATGCACAAAGATAAATGAATATATAATATATTCAAGATCTTAGAAGTCTAGATAATGCTCTAATGTTGAATGACATATCTCTGGAACTTGTTCACCGACCTCACTAGATCAATAAATTACACCATACTGTTGATGTCTAAAGACCCATTTCTTCCAAATAATTGCATTCAGTGAAATGCTTAGTAGCATTGAATTCTAGAAAGATACATTTGATTTTTTTTGAATAAACTTCACATTTCAGCTAGAAATGCTCTTCAAAATAGACACTTAAAGTAATGGAAAGAATTTAAGCTTCAAATGTGCCAGTCTATATTATTTCCTTGCATTTTATTAACATAATCAACAAAATCCAGTTGCAATTGCATTTTGCCATCTCTGCATATTCATTAACTATATTAATTTAGTTGTGGCCCTTTGCAGCTGCTGGAAAAAAAGTACAGACCTTGCATTAGGCTGATCAAGGAATCACTACTCATGAAGGTTTAGGGACAAGTTTTAATCACAGAGTAAATATGCCTATAGCATTATATGCCTCCAAACTAATACATAACTTGTGGTCATCACAGCTATATCCATCTTCAGGAGAAGAACTATAAAATGTCAAGCCCTGTATGAAACTGCTGGAAATGATTTATTAATAGCTATTTTTTCCTATGATGCATGCTAAAAATACCAACCTGCTATAGAGTAGCTGGCTACCAATCTATTTTGACTATTTCCTTTGCAATGCCTTAGCTCTCCATGATTTCTTTTAAATTATTTTCCTTTTGCTGAATTGAAAATTTTATAAGTATGG